AAARARAAAAAAARGAGTTCGGCCCTACTAGCTTATCATATCTCATTTAAACACTAATGYRTCACTGCAAGCTCCACTKCTGTCTTACCTTGATGGAGAGGCTTAGCTGTTTTTCAAGATGGTGCTGGGAATGATGTTCATAATACTAYAATTTTAAGCTAACAAACCATTATAATTTATCTTTTTTTTCAGATATGTTTTGAATGTAAACTCAACGTAGATGCAAAAGATGCTGGCGGCTGGTCAGCCTTGCATGAAGCAGCTTATATCGGTGATGCTAAATGCATAGAAGTTCTCCTTACTKCAGGAGCCGACATAAATATACGAAATAGTGATCTATCAACRCCTCTGTTCATATCTGCTCAATAYGGCCATGTTGAATGCTTGAACACTTTAATAAAGAATAAAGCAAGTATAGACATGAGTACGAAAGATAGAGCATCACCATTGTTTATTTCTTCTCAAGAAGGCCACTTGGAGTGTGTCCAAGCACTGTTAGATGCTGGYGCAAAAGTGAAGAATATGACYAATACTCGTACAACTGCATTACACACKGCATCCGAAAGAGGGCATTTAAACGTTGTTAARCTCTTGATAAAAGCTGGTGCCGATGTAAATGCTGTTAGCTGTGAAGGAGTGACTGCACTGTTCTTAGCGGCTGACAGAGATGAAGTAGATTGTTTAATTGAACTCATTGAGTCAGGTGCTGACATTAATGCCAAGCTTATGAGTTTTATGGATGAAAATGCAACACCTCTAGAGCTAGCCTGTACTTCTGGTTCAGTAAAGTGCTGTGAAGAGCTAATCAAACGAGGCTGTGATCCTAATAGAGTATTYCTTAGAAATAACACWTTGGAAACATCAACTTTAATGGAGGCAGTTGAATCTGAAGAAAGTTCCTGTGTTGAAATTCTCCTTCGATATGGAGCTAACCCAAACACACCCGTTTACTCATATCCCATAATAACTGCAGCAAAAAACTGTGACGCAGCGAGTATGTCGCTTCTTATTAAGTATGGAGCAGATGTTAATGTAGTYGACAAAGCAAATAATCTTGCCTTGAGAATAACAATGATGAAAGCTTTTCTTCATAGAACAGAAGATGAATACTTTGTACTTGGATATAAATGTGTGAAGATGCTTTTGAAGGCAGGGGCTGATACAACAGATTTTTTGTCCAGGTGTTGGGGCTACCAGATCTTAAACACAGCAATCCCTATACCATTTCTTAAACTGCTTCTGACATTCCATCCACAGGAACCCCACATCATAGAATATTTTAATGATTCGCTCCATTCTTATAAGGCATTAGGAGAAAAGACTGATGAGATTACACGGTTGATTGAGAATCCTTGTAGCCTGGGACACCTTAGCAGGATTAAAGTGAGGTGCATTCTGGGAAGCAAGAGGTTATCTAAGATTGACGAGCTTCCTTTACCCAAAATGGTTCAGAATTTTCTCAGATTTGATGATTTGTAACATTTGTATGAAATATTGTTGTTAATTTTGAGTAAAAAGAAAATTATGATTTTTTTGTAGTTAATATATTTTTTTGGTATGCTATTTTCAACTATAATTTCCCTACTCATTTAAGAGTCTTCGCTATGTTCATTTGAAAATAAATTTTTCTTTAAAATAGATGGTCGGAAAGGCCTCGTAGTGAACTCGGAAAAAATCGTTTTATCGTAATGCTCTCGGAAAGTATTCGGACGTCTGGCGTGACAGGATTTTGTAGTCCATTCTCCCTGTTATTCATTAACATTTTTGTAATTTATCCAATTTAGAAAGTCAAATTACAATGAGTAGGCATAGCGATAAGCATTTTAGCCCAGTTAACGTGAAGTCTAGGAAGCCATTGCTCCAAAAATACGACAATCTGGAGAAAATGCCGGTAAAAACCACAATTACAATGCGAGGTAAGATTAGTCATGTCGGCATATTTCTGGTTTCGACTACTTGCTTTTTTTCTTGTTTTGCTTCTATCCTAGCTGTCTTCGCCGGTTCTACATTTGTTATTTTTGTGAATGGCTTGTTTATAGAGAGGAGAACTTGTCTATTTTAGCTTTTTGCTTGCTATGTGAATGAAAATATTGGTGTATTCAAAAATCGCATATCCAAGTTAGATCTAGTAGATGTCTCTTGAAATGTACTTTGTTTAGTTTTTACATAGGAACCTAAGTTTACATGAATATTAAACGAAAGAATGAATTATGAAGCAAATACCAAATACAAGCTCAATTGATCGAAACGATTTCAGTCATTTCACTGAAATTCGATATTAGATGCCATTTTTATTCAAATGTGAATGACTGAATGAGAAGCGAATGAAATTTCTCGTACAGAGAGACCTTAAATGTGATGGATAATAGATAGTCAATAGTTTCAATTTATAAAATATTTATTTAAACCAAACTGCATATACATTCATCTATAATTATAATAATTAAAAGATTCAATTGCTGAGAGACTAAATTTTTTCCTTGTTATTGATTTTGTAGATTCTAAGGAAGAAGTCGATGGTCAGTCATCAAGCAATAGAGGGTCTTTTATAATACTTGGAGTCATTTTTATAGCTTCATTAGCAGCAATGATGTTTGTTTACACTAGTTTTCCAGAGCTTAGACCGTAAGTGTGCAATGTTTATCACTTATATTTTTACATAAAGGTGACCTAATGTGTTTTTATTCTTAGGGAAGACAAAGCTAGTATAAAATTRCCTAGAAATATGGACGATGCAAAAGGATTAGGGAGAGCTCTGTCAAAGTACACTGATGATTATTTTACGCAAGTTGTATTGGGGTTTATAGTTACATATATATTGTATCCTTTAGCAAACTTCAATCAGCTAATGGCTGCATATCATGAGTGTGTTTTGTGATAGTTTGGCAATAAGGTCATTACTAATGTCACCTTGATAATACTCTTGATAACTATGATGGCCTCAATGACGATGATAGAGATTATAGTAATGATAATGATGATGATGACAATGATGATAATGATGATGATAATGATGATGATGATGATGATGATGATGATAATGATGATAATGACAATGATGATAATGATGATGATAATGATGATGATGACAATGATGATAATGATGATGATGATGATAATGATGATGATGATAATGATGATGATGATGACAATGATGATAAAAATGATGATAATGATGATAATGATGATGATGATGATGATAATGATGATGATGATGACAATGATGATAAAAATGATGATGATGATAATGATGATGGTGATGATGGCAATGATGATGATGATGACAATGATGATCATAATAATTGCTATTATTGTTATTCATACTTGTCCAATACTATCCTCTCTAGTCGAATTGAAAAGGGAACAAATTCAATCGACTATGTTTGATAATGACACAAATCTACGGATTCTCTCTCCATTGTCAAAAGTTAAGAAATTCTCTTCATTCAAAGTCAAAAGAAGCCAGCTTAAGTCACAATCCGCCGAAGGAAGTCATCAATTCAGTCAGACCTCAAAAGAGATCGAATTCTTCTACCTGGATTCCCTGTGGAAATCTAACCTATGAAGACGAAATTACACCACGACCTCAAACCCACTCAAATCGTTCGATTTGAATCTACTTGTTATCACTAACTATTATCTACTTCAACGGAGAAGACACTTCACAACGAGGGAGACCGGAGAAAGCAATCACCCTCAAATCATAATTTACGATTTGATTTCAACTAACCACARCATATCACCATGATGCTTCGTTTTCAAAAGTTCACGAGTTGAAGCACAAGGMAGCAGTCTGTGCATGTTGACAATCTCCTTCATGGAGAGCAGTTCCATTGAAGGAGTTAGTGTGCTTGTTTGGTTTCGCGTATTTTATTCTTAGTAAAAAAACCGTTTAGTAGACATTATTTTGCAACATAACCTCTCTGTACGAATTGAAGCATAATCTTTGTCAGATATTTCTAATAACGCMATTCCCMCTGCATTATAATAGAGATCGGTGAATACTTGACGAAAACGAGAAAACGGTTCATCTCTGTTATTTAGTGCATTCTGAAATTTAAATCATCGGASATGGCACACCYATTTTAAGGCATACTGAATGGCAACAACCGAGAAGCAGCACCGGAATTAAGAAAACCATCTTTCAGATGTATTCGTGCTTTTGACACATATGAGTGTTTCACCGAAAATGATTTGGGATGTGTGATCATATTAGGTTAAAGAAGACCTCGYAACATTTCCCTTRYATCCCTAGTTTTCTTTATGGAATTATATTTCCTGTAAGGGAAACGCCGTGTAAATGCAAACAAAGTGTGCACTGCGCACTTTTGTCTGTGAATCAGTAGATTATATTATTTAGGTAACAATCTGTTCTGACGTTAACAGAGTTCAACACAACCTGTTCTTTTAGCGGTTCTGTCATAATTCCATCTCAAACAATCTTTTAGTTAGGAGCTAATTTGCATAGTGGTTTATGTGGTTTCCATTGTGCTGAACACATTTATTTAGAGAGTTTTAGATTCACGTCTACCGCAAACGCCAAACGTCAAACTGGCTTTC